CTTCAATGGCTACGTAAGAAAATAAGACCCCCTTTGCAAAAAAGTTGTTTTTCACTGCTTTTTTTTTTAAGAAAAAGAGTTATTTTGGTTTAAACTTGTTCAAATTGAAAGTTCTGTTTTAAAGAGACATCGGAAATTTTATTTAATTAAAAATATTTAAACACTTTCTTATAGCTTGACAACAGGTATCACAAAATGGCATTGATCGATGACTAGAAAATTGAAAATTCGTAATTTTGACGTAAGAAACTTGTTTAAACATATAAAAAAAATAGCCATAATGAAAAGCATATGGAAGAGCTTCCAGACTAAATTCAAGCTCTACAAATCGCTGATCGTATCCACCACCCCCTCTACGGTTGTGAGATTTGTATATTCTTGATTGCGACAGGGAAAGTGATTTTCATCGGATTGATCCTTTTTTCATATCGTTATCATATGTAGTTTTAGAGGATTATTAAAATACCATCATTGATATCGATTTAGATTTTAGATTTATTAGGAAGAATACTAACATTCTTTCAGATTTCTGTTTATATTTATGAGATGAGGAGTTTCGAACAATCAGGTGATTGGAATTTCGAACATGGCCAGTGGATAAAGGCGTTGGTTGAAGTAATCCAGAAACTTGAACCAAAGATTTCTAGGTTCAATACCTGGCCACAGCAGAGTTGAACAAAGACTTGGAGAGTTGAGTTAAAGGGAGATAACTGGAATTGAGATCCGGAAGAGACACGGCACGTGGAACTGGAACACTTTACCCCAGTGGAGGAAATAAAAAGTTGGGTTTGAAATTCCAATCTTCTGAAGAAGGCCCGAGCGTACAACGGCCGAAACGTCGTGAAGATGACAACAAAGATGAGGACAACAATCTGAACATTGTAAATAGTGTAAATAATTCCTTCATATGCTAAAGTGTGGATTAAAGTAGCTGATCTAGAGAGAACGGTATATTTTGCGTTTGAGTGTATACCAATAGTGCATCGGTTATGATAAATAGGAAAATTGGATTTCAAGTCAGTCAACTGTAAACAAAAATCCTATTTTCGCTCATTGCATGCTTCAACGAGCAGCATTATTGTCAAAGAAATTCTGTAATTCTACATGTATTATTATAAAAGGCAGTTCCGTCCTGGGTATGACGATAAACTACATCCGCGTGCTGGGTAAGACGATAAACTACATCCGCGTGCTGGGTAAGACGATAAACTACATACGACAGCAAAGCCTTTGATCAGGAGGTTTTGAGGAGTGTAAAACCACTGGTCTTCCCAAGTCCACCCTGACCCGGGGTGGCAGCACCTGCCAGGCTCCCAGCTATGGGCAAATAGTTATCCACCCCCCACCCCGAAAAAAGGGATCAAAACACTATGAAAGTATAAAAATAGGTTTTAATACCAGCAATAACTTTTTGGAAAAAATTATTGCCAAAAATACATTTTTTAAGAAAAATTATTTCCTGCAATACATTATTACCAGCAGTACATTTTTTAAAAAAGAAAAATATTGCCAGCAATAGTTTTTGAAAAAAAATATTACCAGCAATACTTTTTATAAAAATATTACTAGCAATGTATTTTTTGAAAAAAAATATTACCATCAATCCATTTTTTGAAAATATATTACCAGCAATACATTTAAAAAAAATATTACCACCAATGTATTTTTTGAAAAAAAATATTACCAGCAATACATTTTTGAAAATATATTACCAGAAATACATTTTTGAAAATATATTACCAGTAATACATTTAAAAAAATATTAAGAGCAATTTTTGGAAAGAAAATATTACCAGCAATACATTTTTGGAAAAAAATATTACCAGGATTAAAAATCTTGCCGGCATTATATAAGCCATTGAGGTGTTGATATGCTATAAACCAAACGAAACCAAACGAAACCAAACCAAACCAAAAGGCAGGTTAAATGGTTAACTTTATTAAAAGTGGCCACTCGATAGTCCGCTAATCGCTAATCTCTTACGAAATCGAATCCAGTTTCAGGAAACAATGAACACAAAGTATATGACACTCAAATGGACTTGCTTTGAAAAGGCTGTTAGAATTTTAAAAATTAATATTCTAGTCAAGACAAAATTTAGATTTTGCTAATATGTTTAAAAATGAAAATTGTTTATACAAATTATGCTATTCATCGGATATTTGGAACTACGAACTTAATATGTCTCTATAAAAAAAAAAGAACGTCAAAATAAATCTGAAATTCAAGCTTTCATGACATTAAACATTCGAAAATTTAAAATATAAAATGACTTAGAAATGTTATCCAAATTATTTTATTTTGGAAACACATTGCATTTTGATTTGATCAAGCCAATAACTGATCATTTGAAGATTCTGAAAAGCAGTGTCCACGATTCTTCCTATATTCGGTAATAACTCTTTGTATTCGATCCCAAATCCATTCACAGATGAAACAGAACACATAAGAATGGTTTTTATATATGCAATCTCCCTTTGGCAGGTTACCAGAACCAACTGCGATTTCAGAAGAGGGATGGTTCTTATAGTGCGTTCCAAAGTGACAGATATGGAAGCGTATGGTAAGTAATCTATTTTCTTTTGTTTTTTTTTTCTCGATACAAAAATAACACAGCGGTCTTTATCTGTTGACATATTCATTGACATAGCTTAGATACACAGGCTTTCTTCTTTTATGAATTGCATCCCTTCAGGTCAGGCTTCTCGACCTTTTGCCCTTGTTGAACCCTTAAATAGTTTTCATATCTCAGAAACCCCTGCATAAAAAATATTATATATCATTATTAATATATATCTTTTATATTTTTTAGTCCTGGGTATGACAATAAACTACATCCGGCAGCAATGCATCTAATCGGGAGATTGGAGCATTTGAAGGGTGTGGAACCATATCTTAACTGTTGTTGTTGTTTTCAAGATAGTAGCACTTGTTAGGGTCTCAGCTATGGGCAAATAGAGACTCTTCACCCCCAAAAATCAACAATACATTTTTATAATAAAATTACCAACCATACATTTTGATAGAAAAAATGACAATCAATACAACACTAAACTTTTTTAAAAATCCATTTTTATGGTAAAATTAGCAACAGTACATTTTTATAGTGAAATTACTAGCAATATATATATATATATATATATATATATATATATATATTTTAAATTAACAATACATTTTTTAACCTACGAACTATATAACTAAAAACATACGTTTACCCTGAAAGTAGGAAATGACCAACAATACATTTTTAAAGCAAAATGACTAACAATGCATTTTGTCTGAGGTTGAAGGCATAAAAGTGCATTCGAAATATTTCAATTTCGGCATTAAATAACCCATAGATGTTGATATAAAAATCAACCAAGTTCTTTTGCATACAGGTTGTTCATAAAGTTCGTGTGCACTTTAAAAAATTTATAACTTTATTTGTATTTGCGATAGAATTAATCTGTAAAAAATGTTATAAAGTTTAATGTACCTAGTTTTAAGTATAGCTAAAATAACTAATGTGATTTCAGGCATTACTGTAAATCAGTTGGCAAATGTTTTCCGTGAACTTCAAAATCGTTTTACCTTTTGTATTGCTAATGATGGAGGACATGTGGAAACTTAAATAAAATTTACTTCTTGCTAATCCTTTTTACAAATTATTTCTATCGCAAAGTCATAAATTTTTTAAAGTGCACACGAACTTTATGGACACTTTGTATTTGTCGCAGTTCACGTAGCAAACATTATACCCAATGATACACGAACCCGCCACGTACAGGTCCCGTTCATTAACCAGTGAAGGCGATTTCAAACTGACGCCATATAAACATCACTAAATACATTCCCTATGATTATTACAGTTTTAAATAATAGAGGACGGAAAGTGGGACACTGAAATCCGAAGGCGCATTGGGATGTCTAAAGATGAATTCTAAAAGCTAAGCAGAGTATTAAGAAATAGAAAAACTTCGTTAGAAACAAAGAAAAGGATATTGAACTATTACGTGATATCACTCCTCCTATATGGCAGGGAATGACTGGACAATCTCCTCAGATATGAAGAGACTTCAAGCAACAAAAATGTGGTTCTACAGAAGGATGCTGAGGATATCATGGACCAAACATACGCGACTATGGTCCTCCACAATTCCCTATCTCGTGTGTCTCTTAGCAGTCTTTCTCTCTTTGCTAAGGCCCCTGTCCTCATTCGGTCATCGGTTCTCACAAGCTCGTCGGGAAAGTGACTCGCTGCCTTCCTCTATCTTGCTTGCCATCAATACGCTCCGTGAGTGATAAGTTTTTCAAACTCTCCTTCCTCATTATGTGTCCAAGAAAGTTCAGCTGTCTTTTCCTGATTCTGAGTACAAGTGTTCTTTCTGTTGCCATTTCCTTTAGGAGTTCTTCTTTGCTTACTCGCTCCGTTCACAGATTCTTCGGCATAACCACATTTCTGCTGCCTGTAGTTTTTTTCTCATTCGTGGGGAGATTGTCCAGCATTCACTGCTATATAAGGATGAATATTACATAACAATCTAACACTATTTTCTTTGTTTCTAAATTTCTTTTTGCTTCGTTTTTGGAAGAGAGAGAGACAAATAAAAAAAATCAGTTGCTTGGTAATGGCATTTATTCCATTTCTTCAGGACATATGCGATCATGGCTGTCTAAAAATTTTTCTTTATTACCTGTCAATGACCATGTATTTTTGAAAAAGTCAGTGGAGTGGTTTTCCATTGCCTTCTCTACAGTTTGAGATTCAGAATTTTCCTTATCTTAGACTGGCTGCCAGCCATGGCTAGATAGTGCAGTCTGCTATTAGACCTGTAACTTGTGGAATATGATATGGATTCATGCCTTTCCCAAGGTCGAAAATGATCGGAAAAAAAGAGGCTGGAATTTGAACCCAGCTCCCCGATTATGCATTCCGCGACGAGAACCGTGAAACTACTTGCACATCCACTAGCAGAAATTCTATGCACTAAGTCCCTTTAGGATGTAGACGTACATGACTCTCCACAACTTCCTCTTATTTGTAGCACTTAATAATGTTTGTCGTTTTGTTATATCTCCTGAAACCCTATTCTACCAACCATTTATAGAAGCTCTTTCTTCTTCTTCTTCTTCTTCTTCTTCTTCTTTTTTCTTCTTCTTCTGTGCTGTGCCCCTTCGGGATGTGGGCGGATATGACTCTCCACAACTTCCTCTTATTTGTAGCACTTAATAACGTTTGTCTTTTTGTTATATCTCCTGAAACCCTGTTCTGCCAACGATTTACAAAAGCACGTTCTTCTTCTCTGCGCTGCGTCCCTTCAGGATGTTACAATCATGACTCTCCATGACTTCCTCTTGTTTGTAGCTCTTAGTAACGTTTGTCTTTTGCTCTATTTGCTGATCCCTGTTCTGCCAACGTTTTTGCACAAGCTCCTGCTTCTATCTGGTGTGTATCTTCAGGGCGTGGACAATCATGGCTCTCCGCAACTTCCTGTCCTTAGTAGAGTTTGTATCTTTGCTATATATCCTTATCTCTGTTCTATCAACCATTTACACAGGCTCGTTATATAGGTCATACGCGTTGCTTTTCTTTGTGCCTCTTGCCTTTCTATGAGTTCATTTTTTTTATTTTCTTATCCAGATATGTCTAAGATAAGGTATTGTAATTATTTACACAATTTACATTGTTCGGATTGTTGTCCTCATCCTCGTTGTCATATTCACGACATTTCGGCCGTTGTATGCTCCGGCCTTCTTCAGGATCTGTCTCTATTTCTGAGATGAGGTATTGTAATTATTTACACTATATACATTGTTCGGACTGTTGTCCTCATCTTTGTTGCCATATTCACGATGCTTCGGCTGTTGTACGCTTCGACCTTCTTCAAGATTTGTCTCTGTTTCTGAGATGGGGTATTGTAATTATTTACATTGTTCGGACTGTTGTCCTCTTCTTTGTTGCCATATTCACGATGTTTCGGCCGTTGTACGCTCCGAGCTTCTTCAAGATCTGACTCTGTTTCTGAGATTAGGTAGTGTAATTATTTACACTATTTACATTGTTCGGACTATTGTCCTCATCTTTGTTGCCATATTCACGACGTTCCGGCCGTTGTACGCTCCGGCCTTTTTTAGGTGATTGGAATTTCGAACTGAACTCTTTATTTCTTCCAATATGGTAGATTGTTCTAGTTCCACGTGCCATGCCTTTTCCGGATATCTCAGTTACTTCCCTTTAGCTCAATTCTCCAAATTTTGGTTAACCTCTGCTATAGCCTAGGTATTGAACTTACAACTCGTCACTTTATTACCAGCGCTTTTATCCACTGCGCCATCTTACCTACAACTGCCGAAACATCGTGAATACGCCAATAAAACAATGTAAAAACTGTAGATTATCTAGACATATTTAACATTACTTTTCATCAGGTCGCGCCCTTTGAATTTTTTTTTTAATTCAGCCTTAGAATGCGTCACGCTTCTGATGCCAGGATGATTTTTTTTTTTTTATTTAGGTTAACTGCTTTTATATCGAAATCTTTCCAAACAGTGATTGACACAGGCATGGACGTCTACATTGACAAAAAAAAACTCCGAATGTCACTGTTATGGTTGCTAAGGAAACAACATAGTGTTGGTTACTTCAATGAAACCGGAAGAGTAATTCATAAAGGAATGCAGGTAATTTTCTTTTATTATTGTCTGAATTGTTTAAATCAAATATTATTATGAATAAATTTAGATTTTTTTTAATTTATTTTTACTATTTTGGCTTAATTTGCAGTTTAGCACCCGCGCTCAGTTCGCATTAAAAATTTCAAGAATACTTTTACATTTATGTGTAATTGTATATCCTTCATTCGAATCTGGATTCATAAATTTGATAAAATCTAGCGTTTTGGAGTTATCAACAGTAAACGTTCAGATTCATCCGCGTCGTTGACGGCAGCCATTACTGGCGTTGTTTGGATATATTCGCTGCGGAAAGCTAAACGCGGAAGAATGTTGTTAACGGCTCTTTTTTTTACTAATCTTACTCATCTCAACTTGTCTCAATTACTGCGCAAGAGGACTATATTGCGGAAGAATCAAGACAAATGAATATTCCAATCATAGCTATATTATCATAATAATCAACAGATGTCCCATAACGAAACGCGTCTTTGATTAAAAAAAATAAATTCGACTTTGTTTCATTATCTGTAATGACAAAAGTACGCAGATATAGGCTTTAAAAAGCTTTATTTAAATGAGAACACAAGGTTCGCGTATAGTATCCTTTTATAGTCCCAGTAAACAGAAATAGCTCTGTCAAAGAGGAGAGTTTCAAAACAGGGGGAGACCACTCTTGATTATTCATAACAATCATTTTAGTTTATGAAACTATTTAGAAGTTACAACATCTAGAAAATTAAAATCATTGCTTTATAAAAAAATTCTAAGATCTTGACATTCTGAACTAAAATGAAACATTATTTACTTGAAACACAATGACACAAACTAAAACATGCATACCTTTGCTTTACTTTCTGGAAAGGTAAATAAATATGTGTTTGTCATATTGATATCATTCTAATGACATAAGTACGTAGGGGTAGGCTTTAAGAAAGCTTTATTCAACTAAGAATACAAGGTTCACGTATAGTGTCCTTTTATAATCCCAGTAAACAGAAATAGAGAGGAGAGTAACAAAACAAGGGGAGACCACTCTTGTTTATTAATAACATTGTCTTCACTTTTGTTTCGAATATTATACATCCTACAAACACACAATAACATCTATATAAAAATATTCTTACAATCCAAAATATGTTTCGGCTTTAAATAACCCAAAAAGAGTTGATAAGCCGTAAAAATTCTTGAATATAAATGTCCTGCTAATGATCTAGCGATTAATGCACTTTCTATAACTTTCCGTCTTAGCAAATTGCTTTAAGGTAAACATATCTTTAGTCCGATGAAGTCCTAATGGACGAAACGGGTCACACAAAAACTTTTTTTCTACTTTGTCACAGATCTTCCTAAAATTGTTCTTGAGATAGATGACGCCTTTGGCGGAGGAGGGGCGTATTCAACATTTGATAATTTTATGGCAATACGCACTTAAAGGTTTGAGGCAGTTTTAATCAACGTTTCTTTTCATGGTTAGCCGTAAAGAATTGTAAATGTAGGACTACCTTACAATTAAGTAAAATAATAACAATAATAATATTTGTTAAAAATTTTTTGCAGTAAATATCAAGTTTTACGGAAACATCGTTGGCAATTATGTATTTAGTTACATACCAAATAAATAAAAATAATATTAATTTTGATGTTATTTTCGATTTGTTGTGATGTATTTTTCTTTCTTCCCTTGTTACTGACAGCATTTTAGAATACTTTGCCTGCAATGCAAAATTTCCTATGTTGAACAAACTGGAGATATTTCGTTTAGGCATTGTTACCTCTCTTTTCCATTGTTGTTTTTAGATCGCTTTCTTCCAGTCATTTAGATTGGCAATAGCAAAATTCTTAAATATAGAATGATCTTATTTTATTTAAAAAATAAAGCCTGTAAAAAGCAATATTTTAAATTAATATACGTCCAAAAATAAAATGCTTTTGACAAAAGAAAACTTAATGATTTCATTATAATTATGTAAAAATAATGTAATGATATTCTGCAGACAAATCTATGGTTTATGTTACCTCATCTCATTGCATGGTTATGAACTAAAAACCTAAATTGAGCTTGAAATATTGTGTAATCAGCTCTAATTTTTGTAAAATACTTGGATATGATATAATGAATAATTTACAGTGAAAAAAGCAATTTTCTATTTTTCGTTGAATACGCCCTACTCCGTCGAATGCGTCATATATATATATATATATATATATATATATATATATGAAAATTTTAATATATACGGAAAAAACAAACAAAAAATCCTTATATAATTATGCTGTTTTAATGTTAATATGTCAACGTCGGACGTTATCTGTTTGATAAACCATCTTCATGGACATATTCTTTGTCAAATTGATAATTTAATTATCAATTCAAATATGTCCTGAAGATGGTTTACATAAGACCGAAACTTATCAAACGTTAACTGAAATTTTTAACATTAAAATTTAGTTATCTGTTTAATTGCATATAAGGATTTTTGTTTGTTTTTTCCGTATATTTTTTTCTTCATACTGTCGGATCTATATCCATATATTGGCTTACATATATATATATATATATATATATATATATATATATATATATATATATATATCAAATAAAAAAAGCAAATATAATTTATAAATTCATGAATCATTCATACAAAAACAAATATAAGATTAATGATTTAAATGGCGAGAATACTTCGTCGCAAAAAATATAAATAAGATACACCAACGCCGAACCTGTATATGAATGATATGATCCCCGTTTATAAATTCCAGTTGTATAAGGTCTTTTTAATTTTTTACAAGCTTTCATACCTGATGATGTCTGTCGGAACAGACGAAAGCTTGTAAAAAATTAAAAAGGCCTTATGCAACTGGAATTTATAAACGGGGATCATATCATTCATATACAGGTTCAGGTTGATGTATTTTATTTATATTGTTTGCGACGAAGTATTCTCGCCATTTGAATCATTAACCTCTATATTTGTTTTTTGTATGAATGATTCAGGAATTTATAAATATATAAATATATATATATATAATAAAATTATTGGTTATCCGTATGGAATTTCCAAGATAATATAGATCCGTTGAGAGCTCTATGTCAAAGACAGAGCAAAAATGAAAAACAAACATTTAAAAACCATAGTTGATATTTATTTCATTGTAAGCGTTCTGAAAGCAAACGAAATGTTTGTCGCAGATTAATTCCACAACGCAGAGAACAAAGTTAAGTCGATAATAAACAGCTTCAAATCTTTAGACCTGTATACCAAATGGAAATGGAAAAATCCACTCCACGTTTGAAAATTAAAAATAATGATTTTATATTAAGAGATCGGGGAAAGAAAGACGTAAATTTATTATCGTGTAGAAAGTGGGGGTAGGAAATGGGGTGTATCCATGAGTTGACAGTGAAAACAAAAGAGTTCGTCTTAGTTGTATTAACTGGCATTAGGACCCGTGGTGACATAATTTAACATCCGGATTGTGGACATATGT